TCTGGTCAATCGGGGTAAATCCTCCAACCGGTCATATTGTAATGTTTTACCTTCATTACATGGCCTTTTCTGTTGAACGCTATACTGTATGACTCTGAAGAGTTTGCATTTTATTTAGCTATTGAAAAAATAAATACATTATTCGTTCTACCCTCTCACTGTTTGATGACCAGTTGTATTCTTGTAAGCTACTTTGCCACGCTATCTCATGTTTAATCTCTGATGCTAATGTGAACTATTCATTTACGGCTTATTTGTGTGGATAAAGCACACTGGGATTCTGTTTCCCATCAATTTCAGCATCACCTTTCCCCAAAATGTAGCTGAGGGGTGAAATGAGCTTTCTCTGCAGGGAGGTTGGGATCTCTCTTAGAAGTATACTGGGTGAGGGGCTCGGCCACCCCTGGAGAGGGAGTAGTGCTGCTTCTCCTCCACATCGAGAGGAGTAAGCTGAGGCGGCATCCGCTCCCTGGATGCCTCTCTTCAGCCATGTCCTAAAAGGAGGAGGTCCAGGAGACGACCCGGGACACGCTGGAGGGACTATGTCTCCCTGCAGGTCCTTGAATGCCTGGGATATCCTTAGAGGAGATGGAGGAGGTGCCTGGCTGGTGGAGGAGGTGCTGCTCCAGTAATCTGGTCCAACAGATGTTGTTGCAATGATCTGAAACTTCTAATAAAAATTATAAAATTGTAAGTAAAACAAATCAGTTAATGTTTCTTAAAATAAAATGTAAACATTCTGATTTAAAGTTCTATCGTTAAACACTGAAGGTCAGTTCTAAAGTGCTGCCATCCATCTGCCCGTAATTCGAAACCTGCTTTGTCCTGTCAGCTCACCATCTGTAAAGTTGTTGTGGAATGAAGACCTTCCTGCAGTCTGGATATGGGCCAGCTCGGGTGTGGTTTGGGTGTCATCCCAGGTGTTGAGTGATGATATCAGTGTCTGTTCTTTACTACTATTCGAAGCTTAATGAATTGGCTCAGTGTAGTATTTCCTGTTGTCGGTGACACCTGCAGATTATTCAGAGCTCAGGTGTTTGACAAATGCTGCAGAGCGTGTCAGTGGGAAATATGTTGTTTCAGATTCCCAGACCGTTTATGCAACATATTTCCAACTGCCATAAATATGCAGGCTACTCGGCAAGCTGGAGTAGAAACTACTTCATAAATGTTTAATGAAGGATGGTGTCAATCAAAAGCTGAAGTTTATGAACAAGTAAAGCAAGTGGCAAAGCGCACTTTAGTTTTTAATGTTTCTTATGCTCAGTGGGAATACTAATTCTTCTTGAATAATCTTTAACAGTTAGCGGGGATTGAGGTCGTTTGAGTTGGGTGTTTGGTACCATTGCATACTATGTAGAAATAAAGCTGACAAAACATTTTGTTGAACAACAAGCCTTTAGTTTGAGTGCTTTCACTGCAAATCACATGTTCACTTCCGAACCTTTTCAAACTCTTTGACGCGTTAAGATCTTTTGATTGCAGCTTGCATGATAGAGGAAATCAGTGCTTCAGCCAAAAAGTAAAAGACATTTTGTTTGCTAAAATACTGTAAAGTAAAATAGCAGGAATGAATGACTGACAGAATGTGCAGCTCTGCATGTTAGAGCCAAGGCCCAAACAGCAGTAAAAACACACACAGATGAAGCAGAGCAACGCTGAGGAGTAGCAGCAGACACAATGGATAATTTAAGAACTTCAAGACACTACCTGATTTGTAATTTATTTCCACCTTAGAATCTGCAATATTAGAATATACCGTATGTAGAATATATGTTTACATTAGGGATGCACGATATAATCGGCCCCCTATCGGTATCGGCCTTAAAACTGAATATCGGACATCGGCCACCCCACCGATATTTAACCCGATATTTGATCAGCTTCTGAGTTTCTAAAGTCTAAAAAAAAAAAAAAATACTACTTCTTCTTCTTCCTCAAAAACTTCTTTTTTAAAGACTTAAAAACTTCTAAAGACGAGGGAAAAAATATTGATACATTAAAATTAGGGCTGGGCGATAATTCAATAACGATATATATCGATCGATAGACGTGTGGCGCAATAGAAAAAAAGAGGGTCGATAAAAGTTTGATAAAAAAGAAACGAAGTTTTCCTTCCTTCTCATTGTAGCCTAGCATGTAGGTTTATGCTAGTCACTGCTTCCTCCCAACCAATCACAATCGCGGACCCAGGCATGTCGTCACCAAGCGCCGCCCTCTCAAACCACAACACAGAGCACATGAAGATGTCGCAGCAAGGAGAGGCGGAGGAAATTGTTCCAAAGAAAGGTTTTTGTAGTTCGGCAGTTTGGCAGTATTTCGGTCATGGCAAGTCGGACCAAAAACAAACCACAGTCATCTGGAAAATGTGTCGGGAACCAGTGAAAACGAAGTCTGATAACGAAACCAACTTTTTTTTATCATCTCAGCCACTCACAGCCGCAGGAGTAAGAGCTGTGTAGGCCCCGGTGCGGCTCTCCTCCGAGGAATCTTCGGAAAATATATATATATTTTCAGTTCTGGGCAGTTTCCCACGTAGTTCTAACAATTGAGATAAAAATGCTGAGGGGCCGGCAGCAACTTCAAAGTGATAACTCAGGTTAAAGCAGGAAACGGGGGCGGCGGCGGGGCATTTATTTATTTGTTATATTTATTTTGGTCACTTTTCTGGTCACTTTAGTTTATTCTTTGTCAGTATTTAATAACATAACTCAGGTCTCTTAAGTTATTTTTCTTTAAAACAATTCTGTTATAGTTAAAAAAGTTGGTTAAATAAAGATTTAATTCGAAGTCTGTGTTTGTGTTTTTTATTAAAATTAAATCATATAGATAGATAGATAGATAGATAGATAGATAGATAGATAGATAGATAGATAGATGTAGTTTATTTATCTCAAGCTGGGAAATTGCAGTGTAGCAGCAGCTTTACACATAGTGACAGTCACAACACAATGAGATAAGAAAAGTAAAAATAACATAACATCCACACGTATTTACATTAGCAATATTATAAAAAGTCCAGGCAGAGCTGCACATAAAATATGGTTTCAAATCTTTTCAATAATTATCGATATCGATCAATATGCATTTTTTTTTATCGATAAGCTTTTTTTCTATATCGCCCAGCCCTAATTAAAATATCCCAATATCTTCATATGCTGATATATTGTCATTTAAAAACACCATATCAACCTCTTTTACTAATGAAATATTGCTATATGTCATCGTTATGCTACGAAATCTCCCGAAAATTCACGAAATTTTGCCATATTTTTATATGTTGATATATTGACGCGGTATCGATCTATTTTACTAACAAAATCTCACAAGAATTTGCAAAATATCACGAGAGTTTGTAACAGAATGATGAAAGTTCACGAGATTTTGAAAGTAAAATAGATCGATACCGTGTTTTTAAAAATCAGTTTGATATAAGTATATGAAAATATATTTGAGTTTATTATTTTTCAAAGTGTCAGAAATGGATAACAAAACTGCTATTTTCAATGACTACTTATTTTTGTCCAGCTTTAACATCGGTATCGATATCGGTTATCGGCTACATGAGTTTTAAAATATCGGCATATCGGATATCGGCCAAAATCCCAATATCGTGCATCCCTAATTTACATGTTAAGTTAATACCATATAATTAGCTCCCATTATCCTTAATAACTGCCTCTGGTGACTAAAAGTAGTTTAAAACATCCAATTTTTTCTGTCTCTTAAAAGGAAAATTCTGGTCATATTCAGAATTCAAACTTCTTAAACACTGCAGCATGATTACTTGTCAGTGTTATTTCTATATGAATATAACTTCCTTCACAGTTACCTTATTAAAAGTCCATGGCCCAGATAAACGATTAACAAGCTATAATGTAATATAGTTTTGTTTTTTTTTTTACTTCATCCTTCTTCATTATTTCCATCTATATTTTAAAATGTTAAATAAGTAAACTGAACTGGATCTACGATGTCAAATCACTGATATCCAATCCAGGTGTGTAATTGGTGCATCTCTAGTTGATGGATGAATTGGGGTTTTGAGCGGTTGGCATAAAATAAATGTTGTTAAAAATATAATATTAACTTTTCAATTCCAAACTAACATGTTAATATTGATTGTGGGTTGCTAGAGTTTTTTATTTTTCTCCAATCGTCAGTGTTTGACTGCAGACAGAAACAGCCTTGGAGCAGCCAGTAGTTCATGACACACCTGTACTCTGCATGCTGCTTTTATTTTTTTGTTCTGTTCTCCTGACACAGTCCTCTGAGCTAAAAATGCAAATTCAGTTGAAATAATAGACGTTGGGGAAGGAGCTATATCTTGGATAACATTTGCATGCGTGCGATAATTGAACATGTGACCTAAAGTCTGCATTTTTTAAAGGACTGTCTGACATTTCGGACTCGGACTGAGTCGTCCCACTGGGTTTATGTCATTGTCAAACAAAGCCTTTGTGATTTAATGTTGTGATTTTAAGTAAACAAGGGGGGAACATGATGAATAAAAAAAAAAAAACTGACTTTTTACAGTGCTGCAGATGATTGTCCCTCTTTCGCTTCTTTGGATGATCAAGTTTAGAAATGTGTCATGCTTAAAAGGATGTTTGTTCTACAATCTTTTATAATGTATGCAATTCATATTTGATTTTTAAGGATTTAAACTGAGGGTTTCAAAGTTTAGAACAAGGTACATAGGTTTGTTTGTTGCTTTTGGTACTTATGTCATTGGAATAGGCAAGGACTCCACCAACTCAAATAAACAGTAGAAGGGTGAAACTTGGATTAAACCCTTTCTTTTCCATAATAGATAAATAAAAAAAAGATGTAGTGTTTTCAAATGATGCTAATGAGCAAAATGTGGTTGAGGCCATTTATCCCATATGTTTTCTGTTTTGTGTCAAAGAGTGTTTTTGGGACAGAATAACCGAAGGTAGCTACTTCAGAACCTTATCCTTTGTAATCTTTTCATCCTAATCCTCTGTTTTTGTCCACAGTCTCTACGTGCATAACAAGCTGTAAGAAGGCCGCCCCCCCACCTGTGCCTCCGCGCACAACCTCCAAGCCCTACATATCGGTAACGGTGCAGAGCAGCACAGAGTCGGCGCAGGACAACTACTTAGACCAGCAGGATAGGAGGTCAGAGGTCAACAGCCAGTCCAGCCACGCTCACAGCAACTCCTCCGACAGCCTTGACAGCACCCGTGCCAACAGTCTGGCCTGGGGTATCCCTCGACCTCCGCACATCATCCCCATTCCCGTTGCTACGCCGAGGGAGCCAATCGTCCCTAGCACCGCCAACGCTTCCACTGAGACAAGTGACTCAGTCGTCCACAATGAATCTGTGAAATCAGGATCTAGTAAAGGGAATTTAACAGCAGAGGAACCTTTTGTAGCCCCAGTACCGAGGCGGAAACTGTCTTCTATTGGGATACAGGTAGGCTAATAAAGTTCATCTTATGTGATGTTGAAGGAAAAGAGTTAAAGCCCATGCAGTAGAAGTTGTTGGATATGACATGTGTTTCCTGGAGTTAAAAACCAACAATAGGAAAGGCAAGTTCTACAGCACAATTCAGTACAGAGACAATTCAAAGTGCTTTACATGAATCAAACTGTAAAATAAAAGAAGTAAAGAGAAAAGCATGAAAAAAAGCAGGTAGCTAAGCAAAAACAACAGTTGAACCACAAACTTAAACTAACTCATTCTTTTTTTTTTTACTAGCCCCCACCCAAACACCTGCAGTCTTTAATATACTTGGGGAGTGTTGGCCTAGTGGTTAGAGCTGTGCATTTGTGCTCTGAGAAGGTTGCAAGTACGCGGTTCGATCCTCACAGTCTGCACTCTAGGTCCCTGAACAAGACCCTTAACTCCACACCACTCCCCGGGCGCCGCACAGTGGCAGCCCATGCTATACAAGGCGATGGGTTAAATGCAGAGGTGAATTTCTCCAGTGTGAGATCAATAAATTTCAATTATTATATTATTATTCTAATAAATTCACATGCTACTCCTGCTGGCTGTGTTACGTTCTTTGATCTGGTTCATTAATAATTCAGCTTGTTTTCAGTCGAGTTCCAGTTAACAGTGTGCAGACAAAACGCATGGCATCACAGGACAAAAAGGAAGGGTCTCTCATTGTGAGCATCTTCGTAAGGGGTGATAACACATTGTTAATGATTAGGCACCACCCAGATTAGTTATATCAACAAAATAATGGCCACAACAGGGACTAGTAAGACAACAACATGGGGCTTCACTTTAGTCAGGAAAATCAATCAACAGATCAATTAACAGCAACCTGATCTGCACTCTGATCCATGATTTTAAATACCTACTATCTGTGTATCTTTTGAGATTTGTTTCTTTTCTAAATTACACATATAAATACTTGTATACAGTTTGACTAACATAAACCATGCATGACCCTGTTTTCTAACCCAGCATTTTTTCTGCCTCCTTTTGTTTTTGTGTTTATTCCTTTTAAGGTCGACTGCATTCAGGAAGCCCCCAGAGAGGAGACCCCGCCTCTGGCCAAATTCCAGTCGATAGGAGTACAGGTGGAGGACGGGTGGCAGTAAGTCCTCTTCCTGTCCTTTTAACAACGTGAGGAATTTATATTTTAGCCACACACACATTCTTCTGACTGTCCTCCTCCCTCCCTCCAGTATGGGGCTTTTGTATTTATGTAAAACCATACTGAGTGTCTTTCTGTGTGTGTGGAGTGTTTGTGACGTTTCGGCTCATTCCTCATAGGAGCATTTACTATTTAAAGATCTCCTCCAGGCCAGTTTGAATATTTCAAATGATCATAAAGAGCTTCTTTTTGTTTTGTGCACTATATTTATTTTGTAATCATATGGATATGTTTATTTCACTATAGGTACAGAGAAAGTTCTTCTAAATAAAACAAATCTTTTTCTGTACAATTTAGTGCTACAGTTTAAAATGGAGGGAGACTTTAAATATGTTTCTGCTTATTCTTGAAACCAATGTCCTATTTGCTGCAGTGCAGATTTATGTTTGTGAGCTAACTCTGATTAACTATTGGCTCTGGATAAAGATGATCTTCTTTAGGTAGAGTTTGATTGGTCAGTTCAAGAATTAAATAAATAGCTGTTCATCACATGGTCTTACATTCGGTTTGTCATTCTTTTTTATTCTCATGTGCATTAAAGTACTTTCAGCGTTTTGCCTGGATTGCATATGATATCCGTTTCCTGAACGGTTACAGGAAATGGAGACAATTAGGCAGAATTCACATGAAGTCCATTTATTCATTTGCTTCGTTGAGGCGAGAAGCTCTGCTCTCAAGTTTCTCCTGTCTTAAGCAGACGGAGTGACCCAGCACTAAAACTCAGCCTGGAATGAGATACAGGTGCTGGTCATAAAATTAGAATATCATGAAAAAGTAGATTGATTTCAGTAATTCCATTTAAAAAGTGAAACTTGTATATTATATTCATACATTACATACAAACTCATATATTTCAGATGTTTATTTTGTTTAATTTTGATGATTACAAATGACAACAAATGAAAATCTCAAATTCATCATATCAGAAAATTAGAATATTGTGAAAAGGTTCAAAATTGATGGCCCCTGGTGCCACACTCTAATCAGCTAATTAACTCAAACCACCTGCAAAAGCCTTTAAATGGTCTTTCAGTCTAGTTCTATAGGCTACACAATCATGGGGAAGACTGCTGACTTGACAGTTGTCCAAAAGACGACCATCGACACCTTGCACAAGGAGGGCAAGACACAAAAGGTCATCGCTAAAGAGGCTGGCTGTTCACAGAGCTCAGTGTCCAAGCACATTAATAGAGAGGCGAAGGGAAGGAAAAGATGTGGTCGAAAAAAGTGTACAAGCAAGAGAGATAACCGCACCCTGGAGAGGATTGTGAAACAAAACCCATTCAAAAATGTGGGGGAGATTCACAAAGAGTGGACTGCAGCTGGAGTGAGTGCTTCAAGAACCACCACACACAGACGTATGAAAGACATGGGTTTCTGCTGTCGCATTCCTTGTGTCAAGCCACTCTTGAACCACAGACAGCGTCAGAAGCGTCTTGCCTGGGCTAAAGAGAAACAGGACTGGACTGCTGGTGAGTGGTCCAAAGTCATGTTCTCTGATGAAAGTAAATTTTGCATTTCCTTTGGAAATCAAGGTCCCAGAGTCTGGAGGAAAAGAAGAGAGGCACTTCATCCACGTTGCTTGAAGTCCAGTGTAAAGTTTCCACAGTCAGTGATGGTTTGGGGTGCCATGTCATCTGCTGGTGTTGGTCCATTGTGTTTTCTGAGGTCCAGGGTCAACGCAGCCACATACCAGGAAGTTTTAGAGCACTTCATGCTTCCTGCAGCTGACCAACTTTTTGGAGATGCAGATTTCATTTTCCAACAGGACTTGGCACCTGCACACAGTGCCAAAGCTACCAGTACCTGGTTGAAGGACCATGGTATCCCTGTTCTTAATTGGCCAGCAAACTCTCCTGACCTTAACCCCATAGAAAATCTATGGGGTATTGTGAAGAAGAAGATGCAATACACCAGACCCAACAATTCAGAAGAGCTAAAAGCCACTATTAGAGCAACCTGGGCTATCATAACACCTGAGCAGTGCCACAGACTGATCGACTCCATGCCACGCCGCATTGCTGCAGTAATACAGGCCAAAGGAGGCCCAACTAAATACTGAGTGCTGTACATGCTCATACTTTTCATGTTCATACTTTTCAGTTGGCCAACATTTCTATAAATCCTTTGTTTTTATTGGTCTTCAGTAATATTCTAATTTTCTGATATGATGAATTTGAGATTTTCATTTGTTGTCATTTGTAATCATCAAAATTAAACAAAATAAACATCTGAAATATATGAGTTTGTATGTAATGTATGAATATAATATACAAGTTTCACTTTTTAAATGGAATTACTGAAATCAATCTACTTTTTCATGATATTCTAATTTTATGACCAGCACCTGTAGTTCTTTGTTTTTTGTTTTCTAGGCAAGAAGCAAGGCTTTGCAAAAGTATTTACACCCATCGAAGCTTTCCACATTTTCTCACGATAAGAATATTAACTTTAAAGGACTTTATTTGACAAACTAATGGAAAGGACTGTATATTTGTAAACATGCAGGTAAATTTTGAAAATATTTAAGGATGAAAATGTGAAAAAATGTGTGGTGAACTGTACCCCTGAGTTGGCGCTTTGCAGACTCTCAAAAACTAAAACACCAAGTTTGACAATTGAAATTTTCAATAAACATTTTGTTATATTAGTTAGGGTAAACTCGATATCAATAAAAAGGAAAATATTTGATAATCGATATTATGTGTAAACAAAATGAAATGTACTGGAACCACTGGTGTAAATTATTCCAGTTCACCTCAGACTGTGGGTTTGAATATTTTTGTTCAACTGGAGACTAATCAATTCGATTCACAAATACCTTATAAAGTATTAAAGTTACTTTATTTTTAGCTCTGTCATTAGCTGTAGGCAGGAAAATACTTCTATTATTATCATTATTATTATCATCTCTTCAGGTCTTAAGTCGATAACAGTCTCTAACCGCTTTTCCCACAGCATAATACTGCCATACCATGCGTCACTATGGGGTATATTCAGGATCTATATGGGGGGGTTCCTGTATGTTCCATATTTTTATTAATTAAATAGAGGTGGTGTCACTTAATAATTTGATGGCATCTGAAGGCATCTTAACAATTAAAAGTTATTCCACAAAAAAAATCCACTGGACTTGGTTTCAAAGTTTGAAGACGTTTCGCTTCCCATCCAGTAAGCTTTTTTTTATTCTAATGTCAGGAATAGCTTTGAGTTTGAGGTTTCATACAGTAGCCCAACAAGGCCTTGTTTTGGTTTAGAATAAAGGCAAATTGGAACAGACGAAGGGGGTCCAGCCCTTTGGAGCCATTAAGAGCCATCTTTTATCACAAAGACTCCTAATCAAATTAGGGATACATTATATTTGAATTTTGGCTCATAGATATGTGCTATTTTAAAACTCATCTATCCAATTAACTGATGATTTTTTTCCTAAACCATTTTTTCCAATTAACTAATGATTTTAAACTATTTTTTTTTATTACTTTGTTTATTTAAAAAAACAGGTAAATTGTGTTAAGAACGAATCCTGCAGGCTGAACTGCTTCATGAATAGTTCTCAATTTTCCTTCTTAATTTTATTTCTAAACATTAATATTGAGCACAGAACCAAAACAAATGACGCCAGTTCAATGTATTTTCTTAAGATTAAGATTGTGTCAGTTTCAATGCTTTAGTTCTACTTATAGACCCTTCTGAGCTAATCTCCCACTTGAGCTGCAAGGATTAATTTTGAAACCACTTGTTTGTCACAAAAACAGTTCCTTTAATGTCGGTTACAGTAGTTATATTGGTTAAGTGGCTCAGGGCCAATATTTAGTTTTAAGGCTAGCATCGACTTATAACATGCAAATAATTTTGTAGATTCCTACATTAAATACGGGAAGGTGTGAAACAACAAAACTTTTGCAATAAATAGCTTTTTGCTCTGTTGGAAGGACTAATTTCTTAACTGAACTGAACTGAAGCCTAACTTTGTCACTTTGTTATGTTCCAGAGTCAGTCGCTCCAGCAGTATGGCATCCAAACAAGAAACAGACTCTGACACACAGGACATCTCTGCCATTTCTCATATCAGCATTGCCAAAACCTTTGAGAAAAAAGTCATGGTCAACAGTGCCAGTCAGTCCATGAGTTCCCCACCTGGACAAGACTCTTTAGACAACGGAGACCCGTCTGGCAACACCTCCTCCCCGCCGCCTCCCAGGCAAATCCTCAACCGCTCCACCACACGGAGCAGCTCCTCCTCTTTCTCCGAAAGCCTGGACCCGGCGCTGGACCCCTCCTCTCTGCCCCCTCCAGACCCCTGGCTCGACAGCGAAAACGGGAACAACGGAAGCGCCTCTCAGAGCGGAGGAGGCGGGACGCTGTGTCGGAGAGACGGCCACTGGTTCCTGAAGCTGCTGCAGGCCGAGACGGCACGGATGGAGGGCTGGTGCCAACAGATGGAGCAGGAAACCAAAGACAACCAGCTCTCAGAGGAGGGTGAGGGTTAGCAGCGGACTCACTAGACCAGGTCTCAGGGTTAACTTGCTGGTAGTAGTAAGGAAACGCCAAACATTTGATTCTGTTATGAAATAAATAACCAAAAGCATCCAAAGCCCCACCTTTATCTACATAAATATGAACATCAATAACATCCCTTTCTTAATCCAACAGGTTTGAGTGTGCGAATAGAGCAGTGTAAATGGCATGGACAGGTTATAGAGTCTGACATATAGTTAGGTGTTCATGAGTCTTACTTTGTGGAGTGAGAGAGAGCATTGCACGCAAGGTTTAAATACTTTGTGAAATATCCGTCGTTTTAAGTTATAGTTTTAGTCTTTTGTGTAAAACAACTTTAATCACAGGGACTAAGGAAAATTAAATCCCAGTTGACGAAAGTCGGCCAAAGGACCTGACTGCCTTTCCTGCCATCTACTGGCGTAATGCGGTACAGTGGGGGAAAAAAGCTGAAAAAAATAGACCTCATATCAATGCATTATGGCTAACGAATACTTAGCCCATACGCTCTTAAAATTTTATTTGTTTTAATTTGTTTTTTTAAACACGTATTTTTTTTTTTTACAGTTTAAGTTTGTTTTAATTTTTTATTTTTTTCACTTAACAAAAGGTGTTTTAATTCTAGTGTTCATTATTTTCTTAGTTTTAATTAACAATAATTACCTTGATTACATAAGAAGGCCATATTCAGCCTGTGAAAGCTTAGTAATGCTCGACGCTCCATGTACGCTCACAGTGGAAATCAGACACAACATCTGCAGCATTTCTATCGCATGCGGCTTATCTGCCGCGGCGTGTACGGTGTTACATCATTTTGTATCGTTATAATGCATCCTGGTAAATGGCATGTACTTATATAGCGCCTTTATTGAAGTTAGGAGACTTGACCAAAGCGCTTTACACTACATTCATTCACCCATTCACACACACACTGATGGTGGCTAGCTACATTGTAGCCACAGCTGCCCTGCGGCTCACTGACAGAAGCCGGGCTGCCGTACACTGGCGCCACTGGGCCCTCTGACTACCATCAGTAGACGATGCAGGTGAAGTGTCTTGCCCAAGGACACAACAACACTGAAAGTCGGGGCTTGAACCGTCAACCCTTCGATTACAGGGCAAACTCCTACATCCAACGCCACTGTCGCCCAAATAATGCATCCTGGTATTCACACCCCATCTGATACAGTTCCCCCATGTTAAGCAGGGGGAACAGTATCTGATAGGGTTTATAGGCCCATCAAATATCGTTCCCCCATGTCAACCAGGGGGAACAGTATCTGACGGGGTTTATATGCCCATTTTACACAGGGGGAATGGTAGATAGGGAAGATACTGCAACATCTATCTATCTGGTTTACTCTCTCTCTATCTTATCTATGTCTCCTTTTCTCCATATATACTAATGTTTAGTCGTTGACACTTTCCGTAGTTCCCCTGTGGCGTGAGCACAGAGCAGCTGATGCAGGGGAAAGCGTATCTGATGGGGGAACGAGGCTTGATGTAACAACGGCACGCTTACAGCACTACGCCAAGTCCTGAAAACAACAAAAACCCAGAACTCTATGCAGCCTTTAAGATGAGATATACTACTATCTGATATAAGATTGCAGTGCAGAACTCTGTTCTCACTTGCTCTAATCAATCTGTTGGACAAACACAGCATGGAGGGGATGATGCTGTAATACCTGGGGTTAACACACACAAGCAGGCCTGTAATCTCCAGAATTACACAAATCTAGTCTGGAACTGATTAAACCCTCAGATTAGATTAGTGCTTTGACATCAGCCTTAGACATACAGCAGCATTATGCAGACGTGCAAAGCCTACCATAAATGCAAACCATTTAAAAGCGCTTTAGGGGTCGTTATCAGATGGGCTCCTCTGATACGGCTGAGGCTCTGCTTTTGTTCAGCGAGGATTTTTGCTTTCTCAAGAGTAAGGCGTTTGCTTGTGACCTGCCACAGTTTGGTAGTTTGCATTAAATCTGATGTAAATCTGCAGTCTAGAAGTGGGATCTGGCCACACAGTAGTCTGAGGCCTGCAACTTTAAAATCCACCAATCAGAAAGGAGCCCCAGTTTTGTCAAGGCAGATGTTGTCCTAATTTGACTGTGCAAACAGACTAATGTTGTGACAAGTCACAAGTTGCATCCAAGTCAAATAAATGGCTGTAGTGTCCAAATAGAGGATTGGGTTTTCCACTTTTATGCCATTCATATCCTGTTAAGATAAAAATGCAGACATCTTGAGCCCAAGAGCTCTGATAACACCATAATTCCTAATTATGCACAGTAAATTTGTTTTCCTTTCTCTGTAGTGCTGGGGAAAGTTCGCACCGCGGTGGGAAGTGCTCAGCTCCTAATGTCTCAGAAGTTCCAGCAGTTCCGGGGACTGTGTGAGCAAAACCTGGTGTGTATATTTACACTTTACGACACAGGAACGTTCAATCCAAAACACACAGTTGGTGGCCCGAACAGAAGAACAGAACTTGGAGTTATGTCTGCTTGTCTTCCTATGCATAAAAATGCTTTCATGTACTTGAAAGCTGACTAATCTGAAAGCAGACATGATGCACTGCATAGGAAGCTACAGAACCCATCATGAGGATCCTGCAGCACAAAACACAAGAAGCTTATATTAAGCCAATAAGCCCTGACGTCTTTTCATGAAAATGCCGTTATACAAAATTTAGCCAAATACCAGCACATGACATGTGGTACTCTGATGTGATTTGTCCTGAGTGAAGAGCAGGAAGTGCTGAAGCATTGTAATTGTGAATAGTGTGGAGTCAACAGAAGGCAGTCTGTTTAAAGCGCTACTGACTTTGACTGCATCTGTGCAGGATTTCAAATGAGTTTATTTCTCGTGAATATTTCCACTTATTTTATAATATTTACCTAACTTATTAATGTATTTATACAGCGGCTTCATATGACAGATCACCAGCAGATATAAGTGGGAGGAGACTGTTGGTTGTTTTTGCTAAAAAAAATAAAGTCAGGCAAGTGAATTATGTGACTATTTTTTTTTTTTTTGCTGTTTTTCTATTGTTTTTATATATATATATATATATATATATATATATATATATATATATATATATATATATATATATATATATATATATATATATATATATATAATTTTTTTTACGTAAAATCAAAATAGTGTACTTTGAAGTTTGTGGTTGCACTCTAGCAAAGAGGTATAAATTGTGGACATTTTTTGACATCTTTCACGCCTTCAAATTTTCAGAAAATTTGTTAGCTCATTGAAAAGTGTTATACTTGTATTTAAACATTTTTATTTTGTGAAAAAAATCATATTGTGTTTATTCCCTTCACTCATCTCAAGCAGCAGTATGGGTTTTGAAAAACTGGTTTCCTTTTATTGTGAGCAGTATTGTTATACAGCTCCATCTAGTGGTGAATCTAAAAACTGCAGCTGCGGCCATTGGACACTGAACACACAAACATCACATTGCTTTGCTTGTAGCTAGAATAAGTGTCATGCTGCTCAAAAGACAGAGAAGAAATATGAAACAAATTTCTGTGCCTTATTTCAAATCATTTAAAATATTGTATTTGCAATTCGAACAGTGCTAATTTAGAACTGATTAAGCAATACTTACTACAAAAGCATTGTAGTAACCTTAGTGATTACTGTCTAAGGTTTCAGCTGAGTTGAAACATTTTCTAAACAATTATGATCTGAGAAACAATTTATAAAGAAATTAGAATTTAGCTTTTTTCTTTCTCCAAATATTTTTGCAAAACTTGAGCTGCTGCACCAAATCAAATATCCAACTGTTCAGATCACAATAATGTTTTTTATGTATAGCTTTTTTAAACACATTTTTTAATATAAATGCTTATATAAATGCTTAGGGATGCCACAACACATCTGGTCTAAAATGTGCTTTAGCTTCCTAATATCTTAAAGCTACAGTGTGTAATAATTACAGGGATACACAGTCAGAAATGTAATATATTATACATAACTATGTTATTTATCATCATCTACGAGCTCAGCCTCTTAACCTTAATATTTGCATTGTCTTAGAATTCGTTATTTATAATTACATTGGAGCGGGTCTCGCAGCCATGGAGGCAGACATCTTTGCGCTACGGCAGCGCAGAGCCAACAAACTAGCGATTGCAAGATCGCCCATTACGCTCGAAAGTAACTACGGCAAGTTGAGAGAGATGAACTGAGACGGTACTGAACAATAGATGGTAGTATTAAAATTATCTATGTAAACAAACCTCATCACTTGAGAAGGTAGGTGATGCGGACGTCGTGGAAGACATTTTGTCCCGTAACGCTCGCCGTACTGGGGGGAGAAGCGGTGGGGGGAGATGTTCATGTTGCTGTGGTCTGCAGTCTGAACGTTAGATGTCGCTTAAAATTAAACACTGTAGCTTTAATAGTTATTAATAATGAAGTTTGAGTGACTTTTCTTTCCATCAAAACCTGTTGGGATCACTCTCTCTGTCCTGACTTCCACGAGCTTTGTGATTAGTTTTATCTATTTGCCTTATTTTTAAAAATATGTGTATCAAATACAGTATCTGAAATAAATGTCCGCGAAGCAGAGAAAATCAGGCTTGTTCTTCTCTGCAAAGCATTTTTATTTCTTATTTCTACAGTAAACGCAGCTCTAGTCATTAAATCCTACTTATTTTCTAAATACGACCTGCTTTAATGCATGGTAATACTGCTAATACTTTAAAAGAAAACATTTCTGTTGATCAGTTTTTATACACAACTTTTTTCACTTTTGCAGTGAAGTCAACATTCTTCTAATTGGATAAAAACAGAAGGTAAAGGAAAGTAAAAAAACAAAAAAGAAAGAAATTGTGAGTTCATTTAGTCACACCATTAAAAAGAAGAACAAATGTTTAAGAAGCAAGTGATGTTGGTTTAAGGACGACTACTCGCCGTTCCATTGGTTTCACCATGTTTATCTTTCTCTGGTCAGAATGTGACTGCAAACCCACGGCCCACAGCCCAGGACCTGGCTGGCTTCTGGGACCTGCTACAGCTATCTATCGAGGACATTAGCCTCAAGTTTGATGAGCTCTACCATCTAAAGTCCAATGACTGGCAGCCCGTACCGTCTGCGGCCACCCAGTCGTCCCCTGAGCGGAAGGTACTTCCCACCCATGCTGCCCAGTGCCCTGGCTGGGGTAGGAAAGCCGCCGAAACCGGCCTCTCTCCTCCCACCACCACCGCCATTTCTCTCCCACTCTTTTTAAACTCTGTCCCAGCGTGGGATGAACTCTTAACAAGGCCTCGCTGTCCAACACAGAGGGGCCCGAGAGATCCCTGTTGGCATGCATGGGAAAAGAGCCATCCCAAAGAGGGCTGGGGCTGCTGTGTTTTTAAAGTGTAAAGCCCTGCTTTGAGCATGCATGCATCATTTATCTACATGTGTGTCTGTGTTGCAGCGGAGCATGGCTAAGATGCACTGGTGAATGCGACCAAATGCAGCCTTGCTTTTGCTCATTAACTGGGCTACATTCATCTTGATGTAGCCTTTATTTATTTATTTTTTTGACTTGTCTGTGACTTCTGAGTCTGTTAGCCTCTTTTTTGGCTCTTCGTTAATTTGCCTCTTCTACAAGTCGTGCCTCTCTTTAGCGCCTACACATTAACATTCTGTTCCTACCTTTGTTCTTAATGATTATTTATTACTTTTTTTCCTTTTATACTTTAATATTGTGGACTAATTAGGGACATAAATCATTTTAAATTTCAAATTGTTACACATATTTATGTGTGTGCTTTAGTGGCGCAGTGGTTAGCGCACATGACCCATGTACGGAGGCCTTAGTTCTCCACGTTGCCGACCCGGGTTCGAATCTGACCTCTGGTCCTTTGCTCTATGTCTCTCCCCCTCTCTTTCCTATCAGCCTACTGGGCAAAAAGAGTCACTAGTGCTGTAAAAACTCTAAAAAAAAAATAAATAAAAATTGTTAAATAGTTAAAATTTTATAGAGCATTGCTTTCTAAGGATTTTATGAGACACCAACATTTGTCATTCTCTTTGAGCTGGTGAAATATGTATGATGCAGTACTGAGGCCATTTTATATGAAAGGAGAAAAAGCCAAAAAAGTTTTTGTTTAATTAACACTGGGAACTACATTTTAAACATCATTTAGTTTAATTAAATATTTTTCACAAAAAAACATACAAAGTCTCTTTTAAAAACTTAATTTACTCAAATGTCTATGATTATAGACACATAGAGATTGTCAAAAAAAAAAACATGAGTTTGACTAGATTCTGTATGCAAGCCGCTGCTTACACCCAAGTGTATGTCATAGATTTACTGCTTTTAGGTGGAAATTTTAGACTTCTTTTTTTGCTACGATTTAGATCAACCCTGAAAGCTAGGAAGCCCTGGAGCAGGTTTGATGTTCAGAGTACGTTACCATGGTAACTGGCCTCAGTAAGAATTAATCCAGCTTCGCGGTACCTGGAGGTTAGGATGAAACCAGAAGTTGTCTCGCTAACCAAGTTATCCAGCTTCCTGTTAACAGAAAATTGGGATTGAACCTGACGTTGTCTACTAACCCAGTAATCCAGCTTCGTTGTGCAGACCTCTAGTTGAAGTCTCTGTCTGGTTGTCCCATAGTTACATTGTCTTCTAATAGATGTCGGGATTATAGAGAGAACTGACATTTTTGTAGGTTCCTTTTTTTTTTTTTTACATCCACCTCGAAGTCATTATAAATATTTGCTGACTGATTTAGATTTTATAATCACTTTTGGTTTCAGCAACCTGAATAAAAACTTTACACTTATTTACAGATGAGTAAACTTAAACACAATACAAAGGTCAGAATGAGTTGTGAAGTTCTGGGGCTTTTATTTTCACATCTCTGTTTAAATTTTTATAGACGATAGAAACACAAAGTTTAGATACAGACTTGGAGGATTTAGAGAGGGATACATTTAAAGTTTGGGGGAGGAATTCTGTGAGCAATTTGAAAGAAAACCATAATTCCTCCAGCGATAGCGAACACATCATCTCAAGTTAGACAAGTTGTACTATAAAAATACTTAAAATCATTTGTGTCGGCTGAAATTCCAGGCTGTGAGGATCACTTAAACATTGTTTAAATTAAAACTTCAAAGCAGCTTTTACTTTACACTGGGTCAACCTGCTAAATTACGTAACACCTTTAAACACATCTTTCAACACACTGCGCCAGTCGCTTCTGATCTAACATGCTGAAACAACTCAGTTTACATTCAATAAATATGGCACACGTCTGGTAAGAGACATTCGGAGGGAAAAAAGATGAAAACAATAAAGTAATAAAACTTACTACACCCTGGCTTCCTTCCATGTTGCTCTCCATTGTTTACTGTCCTGATTTTTGTCACAATGCAGCCAGCGATCTGTTAGACCTAGCTTTTTTTGCCAATGGGAAGGGAGCCAAATGCTGATTATTAGAAGGTTGACCCGTGCCTGGAAAAACATGCGTTAACACGCTATTTTCAGTGGCAAAGAGACTTTAGAGTCATAGCAGTAGATCTGCAGCTTCTTTCCTTTTGCAATGTAATCCCAATCATGTAACTGCCTGCATGTAATACTAGACAGATTTAAAGTGCAATCCATTCCTCCTGTTGTACCGGCAGCATATTGATATATTGTAGTGGCCAAGATGCTGAAATTCTTGATCTTTGAACCATTCCAAAAAAGTTAAAAAAAGCAATCCACTGGATTTTGTTTCCAAGTTTGAAGATGTTTTGCTTCCAATCCAGGAGGCTTTTTCAATATAAAATGTCAGAATTGGGCTCTTTAAGGTCCACAATATAAAGCCTTGACCTCAATGCTATTTCTGACATTTTGAATTGAAAAAGCCTCCTGGATGGGAAGCGAAACGTCTTCAAAAGTCCAGTAGATTTTTTTTTTTTTACTTTTTTGGAATGGCTATGGCATGGATGACTGAGAATCCAGCACCTTTGAACTATCTTTAAAAATATATAGTTGGCCAAAAGAGGTTATATTAAAGAGAATAAATAAAAAATCTAGAAAAGTCAGGAGAAAAAATAAAAATCTCGAAGTACGGAATGTTGAAGGGGCAAATTGTCGAGCACCTACTTTTTGTTTCAAATCATTGTAAATGTTGTGGCTGTCTTGTGACCCTTTTTAATATTCAGCATACATCCACTCATGTTACCATTTCAAGTGGTTGAAAGTGTGTCCTTTTCAATGTTTACTTCCTTAATGTAGCTTTCTATGCTGTCCCTGTTTTTCTGTGCGATCGTCCAGTTCACTACACATTGTCTCAATCAGTAAAAGACTAAACCGTTTTCAGATTCCTGTCAAACTTTTTTGAACAGAAGAAAAAAAATAGGACTCTTAATAGATTACATTTTAACATACTCTTTCTGTCATTCTAACTTTAAACCTGTTACAGAGCGAGGACAAGGCAACCCTTCCTGCGTCCAAGAAGCCTAATAAGACGCGGCCGACGCTTGCCCGCGAGAAGAGTGCCGACTCCTCTTCAACATCTTCATCAGCCTCTGCAGAAAAGCAGAGACAAGAGGCTCGCAAACGCCTGCTGGCTGCTAAGAAGGCTGCCTCGTTTCGCCAGAACTCTGCCACGGAGAGCGCGGACAGCATTGAAATTTACGTCCCCGAGGCCCAAACTCGCCTCTGAGAGGAAGACATGAGCGAGAAGGATCCTAGGACGGATAAGTGTTTTCTCTGGAGAAAAAAAAAAGAAAAATGAGGAGGATGTTTATTCAGGTCAGATGAATTATTGTGAGTAAGGAAGGGGTGTGTAGAGGGGCAATGCCAGTGAATGGGTATATTTGTAACATAATCATAGGCTGGTCCTGGTTGCAAATGATAATAAACCATTTATATCAGACTGTAAACTCATGAAGCTGAAGATTCCTCTTCTCAGGCTGCCAGCTGATGAACTTTATCATCTCTTGTCACCTTTTCTTGATATCATTAAAAAAAAAGTTATTAAAGTTATTAATATAACAACTTTAGGTTTAAAAATTTTATGAAGACTGTTTAGAAGTTCTTATATCTCGGCTCTAAGATTTATTAAGCGGACAGAAGGTACACTGGAAAAAAAATAAAAATCTAGATAAGTCATTTTTTCTTAAAATGAGTGCATTTGTTATTAAATTGAGAAGGTATAAGAGACATTTTGCCAATGGAACAAGACAATTTACATTTAAAATAAGAAAACGCAAATGCATTGTGTTAATTCAAGTGCATTCTATCTAAATGTCTTATTTTAAGAGTAAAAATACTCATTGCATTGGCAAATCATCTCATTTACCTACTCATATTAAGGGTAGGCATCATCGCCTCTGTCTCCCGCTCTCTTGCTCTCTCTTCTCAATCACTGGCCATCTTGGAGCTTCGCAGAGCAGCTCCTTGTGGCCATCAGACGAGTTGCACATAAATCCACCCCATCTGTCTTCTGTGTATTTCGTTTTTCTTTAACTGTAGATTTGGGCTTGGTTTCAATGCATTCAGACCAGGCTGTTCTGAATATTTGTGGGTATGTTGAAAAACAAACTCAGATGTGTGAACAGCTATTTTTTGTGTTTAACTCCTTCAAACTTGCGTATGTATTTGTGTCAAAGAATTTAGCATTTAGTTGTTGTTTTTTTTTATTGTTTTGAATGGTATTAAACCCAGATATGGAGGTATGTACTTTCATAATGGCTGCCTGATTTGTAGATGGAAAATCTGAAAACTCTTTTTAGTCCTTGTTTGTTTGTTTTTTTCCTTTTTTGTGTGTTAACTTCAGATCCATGGATATTTTAGGGTATTTTCTGTTGCATTATGTACATTTCAGTGCTTTGAGTAGCATAATAAACATAAAGCTTGCACATTTTAAAATTATCTAGGGCTTTTAAGTTGTGCAGTCTGCACACTGCTTATTATTTAATTTTCTTGGTTCCCATTTAATACCAAAATCATCCAAGCAAATTTTTCCATCCTTTTTTCCACTCTCCACATACAGTTTTTTTTTTTTTACCATAATCTCTTTTGATTACATTAAATGTATAAATCATTTCCCTTTTATCATGTAGTCAAAGTCAACGTTTTTTTTCTGTCTTCGAGGAAAGCCAAAGATTAATTCACTGTTTTCTATTCAGCTCATGTAATAAAATGTCAGCAGAAGGGAAACTCAACAGTTGACTGTGAAAACGGATGGGAGTGGACTTTACCCAGAGCAACATATGTACTGCAGATTTAACATTTGGATAAAAGGCAGGAAGCTTCAGCAGAGCTGCCCAGCGTTCAGAACCACTGCGCTGCCCTTTCTGATGCAGAGATCTAATTTAATGGAAAAGAATTGTTTCCGACCTCAGGAGGGCAACGGTGCCTACATAGCAAACCAGTTTTCAGTTATCACACCAAAAGGAAAGAATGGAGACTTATAAAAGACAAATTTTCCCTGTCCTGTTCTGCATAAACAGACCTGTGCATAAGTATTCATACCCCTTGAACCTTTTTACATTACATTACATTACAACAAGAGATGCACCAATCTGATTTTAATAATGGTATTGATTCCGATATTTAAGCAAATTCTACATCCGGTATCGGTCAAAATTAGCTCAATCCATAGAGACTGTTGTTCTATTCACTCTATTTCTATAAAAAATTATTTAATAAATACAATCAATGATCAAGGATGGCATTGGTCCTGGTAACATGATTTACTGTTTATTACTTCCTTTTTTGACCTCATACTGATCTTAAGTTGCTTTGTTGGATACATATCTCTGCAATTATACATATATTTGCTTCTAGAAATTAGTTTGACCATTCCTTGGATTGGAAGGGAAGAAATAAGGATCAGTGCATCCCAAGTTAAAACCACAGACTTTAATATATATGTATGCCATAGATGCAAAGCAGTGCAGGATTGTAAATTGGAATGAAAACTTTTTTTCCCCTTTACAATTCATTGTAGATAGCCTCTTTGTTCATTAAAAAAGCAGCCCACAACATAATGCTACCACCACCATGTTTTGCAGCAGCAGGGGGTTATGTTCATGATGAGGGGGTTGTGGCAATTTTCTGCCACACATAGCATTTTGCATCAAGGCCTAAAGTTCAGTGTTGTTCTCACTCACCTGAGAAGCTTCCTGCACACGTCTCCTTCATGGTTCTTAAGAGACTTCAAAGACGTTCATGGCCTTCTTTCACTAGCAGCTCAGGATCTCTGCAGCTGTTCCAGATTTACCATAAACTTAATTGGCTGCTTTCCCAGTTAATGCTCTCCTCGCCTGGCTTGGCTAGCCATTTCACTGTTTTTAAATGATTAATTAAACAGCGGGTAATTCTATTTATTTATTTATTTTTTTGTCTTTCCTGACCTGTCTGTTTTTTCGTTCATCTCCTTCATTTGCTGCTCTCGGAAATTCTCTGACGCCTTTACAGATCCATTTGAATTATGCTTAGATTAAATTTTTCATTGCTGGATTTTATCAAAATATTAAGTTACTTCTTCCCTGTATTATATATAAGCCTTTCAGAATAGATACAGGAGATATAAAATTATTTTTCCACTTTCTGTCCACTTTACAAGAATGCATTATGCTGTGTTTGTCTATATCCCAGCAGAATATGGCACCTTATATGTCTGCAACATGACAAAATGGTTAAAAGTATGAAGGGTGGGGATACTTTTGTCTACAAACATGCAGGTACTGCAGAAATTGGCTTAGTAAATTAAAGATATCTCCTTTTAATAAGTATTAATTCCCCTCGTGGGCACAGATAAGGCCAACAACTGTCAATGAGGTTGATTTGTCTTCCAAATGCTAGTCGCAAGCAAACAACTTTCCTTGCTGCACCCTCCTTTTATTTGTCTATTGCAAAGCCTCCCTCTCATAACTTGCAACCCAAGGTTGAGTCTCCAGTTTTGAATTAGAAAAGCCCAACGAGCTCCATTCTTCTCATGGCCCTGGTAAAAGCTTTGCCTTGATGGCCGCCTATTGTTTGACTGTGATGTTTGCCTGCTGTGGGTGATTCTCAGCTAGGACTGTGGCTCAGGGGTGTCAATAGACAGTTCCCTGACTGCTATCAACCCCCCGGTCCATTTGACTGGGGAGGATAGAGCGTCGTAAGCACCTGAAAGCCTTTTGCATGAATCTAAATTTGCCATTAGCTTGATTTAATTTTGACTTGATTTGACCTGTTTATTTGTGGTCTAAATGAATATTTCCAGCTGTCTTTCATCTCCTGAACCAAATTATTTAGATTTATTCACTCATGATCGCCTCTGAAAACTTTAAACCAGCTATAAAATGTTCACATATATCAGTTTGATTTCATACAAACTGTTTCAAGCCTCATATTTTCAGCGATATCCTTTTGATTTCCCATTTTGTATAAAACTCTGCCTTGAATAGAGGTTAAAAAAATATCTCAACATATAAAATACACAGTAGATGGGCAAAGCACGTAGATGTGTATGTTCTACTGTCATTCGGATGCCGAAATACCAAAACTTGGCAGCAACATGCTTGCGGTTACAAAGCAAAACCTTATCTCATGCATGTAAACAATGCTTTACTCCAATAAACACACAGACCTGGTGAAGGAACAGAGCTGGGCCCATTTCCTGAGCAGAGTCATCCATTGGCCGCATATTTGCACTGTGGGGGGGCTGGGCTGTTGCTGTAAAGCAAGTGATTTGGGGGTGATAATGATCCTCATGCATATGGGGTTGATGCTTTCTACCATTCTTTTCCTTTTTTTTCTAGTCCTTTGTGTGTCCTCCTTCACCAAGTTTACACACTGGTTAGTTGTTGCATGATTTTGGATAAATGAGGAAATGTTCACAAAAAGGAGTTTGGGACTAAAAATTAGTTTTTATATTCTTAGTTCTACTAAGAGTGGGCTTTCCAACTACTTTCATGACTGCTATTTTATTTCAAAAACTTTTTTTCTGTTTATTTTTGTATTTTTACCACCTTTGTACAAGCCAAGAGCAATGTCTGCATTTTGAATCGTTTTGGGGTTCCCCTCCTCCCATTTTGTCCGTTTCTTTTGGTTTAGCTCTAGAAACTTCTTAAAAACTGTAACTGATGTTTTTAACAGTTAAGGTCTTGATTTTTATTTATTTTCCTAACATCTGCAGTTGTAATGCGAAGCTGTTCCTGAAGGATGGCCATCTTTGATTGGCCTAAATGCACAAGCTCCTGTCTGTTTTGTTGGGTTTTATTATAAAGTTTTTGCTTTTATTTTTTATTCCCCATAAGCTCCTAAAAATTAGTCCCGTGTTTCTCATTGGCTGTCCATAAGGAGCATTCAATCAATTCAGTCAGAATTCGCTCTTAAAAAAGAAGGTTTGTCATTAAAGGAAAATTTTGTATCACTTTTAAGCATTATTGCATTTAGATGAAAACTGTTTTTGGTTTTCTTTACAAATGTAAATGGCGTAGTGCTTAAAAGCCTAAAAAAAAAACAGGTTGCCTCAGCCAAGGCGTGACATTCTCCTTCACATACCTTGGAAAGTCTGGAAGGTGCGAAAAAAAAACAAAAGTAAAATCTGAACTAGCTCTACCTCCATCTTTGCTTTGTTCATCCAGTTCATGAAGCAAGTTGGGATGAGGGACAGAGGCCATGCTGATTCCAGCAGAGATATGATGTAGCAAAAAGTGTCTGCAAATAAGCATTTTAATGAATTAAGCACATAATTTAATGCCTAGCATCTGTTCTTTAGAGTAATATTTAAGATGTGTGTCATCCAGCCAAGATGAAAGAATCGAGATTGTGCTGTGAGTGAATATGTGGGCCGTTTTGGAGAGTTTTACCTTGGATACTGTTCGCTTCCCTCTGTTAACAATAAAGTATGTGCAATACAGAGTAAAGGGGATCTTTGCTATTAAAAGGACACTATATTGCATTTCTCTCCTTGAGCTTCATAAAGTTATTGTCTGTAAATAAGAGTTAAACCGGATCAAATATTTCATCTTTTACGATGCTGTAAACCTGTTTATACAGTTTCAAGGTTGTTGACATGTATACTGCAGAGGCGCAATGTTCAATAAAGTTCACAAAATACTTTCTCAAGTATCTAATCGTGAATTTGTTTTGAACGAAGCAGCAGTGTAAAGGTATCAACATCTCCTTAGACATCAATGCATTTAATTGGTATTTAGATTATAGGCCAACAAAAAACTACAATTGGTCATAGACTTAAACTGACAAACTAGACAGGGAGCATTGATCAGAGGAGCATCAGGTGCAAATGTCTTTTTACTGGAAAACAATATTTAAGTCATTCGCTGTATAAATCAAGATTTTACAGATATGGTACCAAAGGAAAGCTTTTGTAGCTATACAAAAAAAGGGATATTCTGTTTGCAGTTTGCTCTGAGCCATTAAAAGCAAGTCCGAAATAGAGCAAAACTGTGGAAAAAAAATATATACGTATCTGTGCCGAATGTCTATTGGGATGTTTTCTACTCCATGGTCTGAATGGACTGCTTCCTCTGCTTTGCTCCATACAGTTGGGATTTCATCTAGGTGATACTAATAAGGCTTTCCAAAAATAAACTAAGATTTTAGGGTTTATATCCAAGGAAAAAAATGTGTATCCCATCATATTTCTAAAATAATTGATAATTGCATTAAAATTTTAATTGGATAGCTGACCATTTCCTAAAATGATCAGATTCATTGTGTTTTATAGTAAGCAAATAAAAAATTATCCTTTTAATTTTTTTTGTACATCTGAGACCGAAATTCAACTTCTTAGTTAGCATAAAAACAAGAAAGTGGCAGGTATGCTTTCATTCAGCACAGAGATGGAAGCTCCTGTAAATACAGAGCAGGAGATCTACACTAAATATAGAAATAACAGCTTCAACGACTGGCTTTATATTAAAGGATTTTGAAAAGTTAGCATAGCCCAGTCAAAAGTTTAACATACAGCCGCAAAAAGACTTAAAAATGTTCATACTCTCTAAATCTAATCTGAGTTTGATCCCTTTTGCCAAGAATAGCAAAGCAAATGTGTTACTAGATGAGCAGAACAGGTAAAGTAAAACATCAGGATTTACATTTATGAGATGTATCGATACATCCTTATTTTACAGACTGGAATTTGTAAAAGGAAAAAAAATGGAAAGCTGTTTTACAGCATAAATATACTGTAACATGTGATGATTTATCCCATTAAATTTTAAAGTACATTGAGGTGTGTGGCTGTAAAAATGTGAAAAGGTTCAAGTTTAAATATCTACACACAGATGAAGATACAAATATTTCTTTTGAACACATTTCATCATTCCAGATAATTTTATTTAATCCATCTTAAACTGTGATTCCTGTTTCTTTAAAGTGTTAAGAATAATTTTTCATTCTTAATGTTTCTTTTCTCATATTTGCTTCTCTTTACATCACCTTATTGGAGAAACTACAGTTTATTCCCTATTTTTGTAAAAAAAAAATTATTCATATAACGTCAGTTTTTAAATCACACAAACCATTTTCCTTAAAAAGGAAGAAATCGTGAATTTTGCTGAAAAGTTTAAACCTTGTAGGATATCAGAGCTACAGAAGAGGATTAGGGCCACTAAACATATGTAAAAAGTTCACTGATTTAAATTTTTTATTTCAGTATAATATGAGAAAATAAATCAGAAGTCTGACTTTAATCTCATAATTTTGACTTTTATTCCCAGAATTCTGACTTTAATCTCAGAATTTTGACTTTTTTTCTCAGATTAAAGTCAGAATTCTGAGATTAGAGTCAGAATTCTGATTTTTTTTCCCATATTAAACTGAAAAAAAACTTTTTTTTTTTTTTTCAGTGGCCCAAATCCTCCTCCGTACAGAGATGTAAAGATGCAGAAAGCAAAAAAGGAAAGAAAAAAAACTCTTTCTAGGACCTGCAAACGTTATATTTTGAATGAAAAGGCTCTCCCGTCCATCATAACAACACGAAGCCAGGCCCGCTGTCGGTAGGAGCGCCGCGATTGGCTTACCGCTCTCCAGGAGCAGTTATCCAGCAACGCGATTGGCTGACAGCCGTCTGTGGGGGCGGGCCTTGTTCAGCTGCGACTGTCAAGATTGGCAAAGCGCTGACTGCTGCTGCTGAATGTGTTTGCAGGTAAAAGGAGCAAGCGACAAGAGAAAAAAAAAACTGAAAAACATTAATCCTGGCAGAAAGCGAGGAGTGCAATGGAAACACGCGAGTCTCTTTATGCGATACAGTCTGAGAGAAAAAGGATTTAAATAAATAAAAAACTCGCTCCTGAAGGCTTTAGCGGAAAGTGTCGCTTTGTGAGTGGAAGCAACTTGGACAGCTGCGTGTTTTCAAGCGGAGCCATCAACAAAGAATGAAAGCGTTGAAACGAGGTGAGCGCCAATCGGACCCTCTTTACTTTATTTCTGTAAAAAAAAAAAAAAGTGAGCGTGTGCTCTATGTTTTGCTGCGGGCTCTCGTCTGCTATGCAGAGCTTTTTGTTGCGAGCGTGTTTGTGTTTGAAATGAGTGTCTGCTGAGGCAGGCGTGCTGCTGTCCATCTGGCGGAGCGACATGCGGGAGGCTGAGCGCCTCCTTTGTGCGCCTCCAGATGGCTCGGTTACCATTTTTCATTCTCTGTCCTGCTTTTAAACCTGTTTATTTTAACAGCTCAAGCGAATATCCATGCTTTCAAAATAAAGTTTAAATGACTATCTCACCTTTTGAAACTTTATTTTAGGATATTTTCCCTCCTACCTTCCCATGTGTGAGTGATTGCAAAAACAAGAAGTTGGGTTTGTTTGACAGCCGCAGTGATTTACCACACAGCTGCTGCTGATGTGACCTTTTCGATCTCTTGATTCTTTATTTTCTTATTTTTTTATGACTGATCCAGTTCAGTTAAATTTCTGCTTTAGTTTGGAATAAACCCCATTTATCAGTGCAGCCCAGCAGATCACGTACACCACGTTTTTTCAGGGGGAGTGCTTGGACCACAGGAAGAGTTCTGTTCTATGCATTTATGTCATCAATACTAAATAAGTTGTTTTTTTCCATCTTTATATGTGATGATCAACATCTTTTGCACGTGCGTTTGGAGCAAAAAAAAACGTCTTAACATGGCCAATAGGTTCCTGGGCCCACTGGCTGCTGTGATGTTGATATGCACACAATCTCCTTTGTGAGGACAGGCGCTGCCCCCGGGGGTCAGGTTTCAACCCAGCTCCCAGAGAAAGACATTTACCGCATTCTGTGGCCCACCCCTTTGGGATCAGGCATGCTCCATTTTGTGGGGATTTTTTTTCCTCCCCTGACCCACCGTGGGTTACAAGTGTGGGGGTGGTCAAACTTAAGGAAATAAAAATAGTTGCTTAAACTAGTCAAACATCGCTTGTCTCCTCTGTAAATCAGGTTTAGGTGCTGATTATTTACATTGTGTGTGATGTGCTGCTAAATGATGCAAATAGAAACCAGAGATGATTTGAAGTTGGCCTATTTAAAGCTGATTGGGGGGAAAAATGTGATAAAATCAGATCGGTGGTCATTGTGGCTTGCCCTGACAGCTAAATGTTGACTTGTACAGAGATATAAGACACTTTTTTTATATCAGGGGAAGTGTTGGCCTAATGGTTAGAGCAGTGTGGTTGTGCTCTCAGTTTGAGAAGGTTGCAAGTACCCGGTTCGATCCCCATTGCCTCCACTCTGGGTTCCTGAGCAAGACATTTAACCCCACACTGCTCATGGGCGCTGCACAGTGGCAACCCACTGATTCCACAAGAGATGTGTTAAATGCGGAGGTGAATTTCTACAGTGTGGTACAAGAAAGGGGTTTACATTAAATGTTTTACATCTATAAGCAAAGTTTTTTGTTTTTTTTTTAGTCAAGGCTATAAGAGAATGTGAGAGTGAGACTTTGAGAAGATAACAGGAAGGCTGTAACATACTATAGCACAGCACTGTTAGGGTAATGGGGAAGACTTCTCTAAGTGGGTTAGTATATTTTAGCTGTATATTAAATGGTTTTAGAGTAATTAAAATGTCTTCAGTGTGTCAAAATCTTTTCACAGTTGCCTTGATTGGTTCCTTTAGAACACCTTTTTTTTTTTCTAATCTTCACGTTAAGTTATAAAAAGCATCTGTCTTCTCCTCAGCTCTGGAGGATGACCCCCACCCGGATCATGACCATTCCTCGGCCATGTCGGACAGCGACGACGGCTCCCCGCTCGACCTGTCAGGAAGGGGTAACTTTGGGAAGCGCCGTCGCCGCGGAAACCTGCCGAAAGAGTCGGTGCAGATCCTGCGCAGCTGGCTGTACGAGCACCGCTTCAACGCATACCCATCGGAGCAGGAGAAGCTCAGCCTTTCCAACCAGACTAAGCTCTCCGTGCTGCAGGTGGGCCTCCCTTCTGTCTCAGAAGCTGTCAGAGGAGACCACACCTGTGGTCCTCCTGTTTGTGTGGATCTTTGTTTTTCGTTCCTGAATGAAACCGCATCTCCTCAGTTAATTGAAACGTCTTTTCTGATTTTTTTCTGATCTGTGATGCACACTTAATCTCAATATCTTATGTCACTAAAATGACAAACCAATGGTAAGGTAATTATGGGTTGGTGTCATTAAGAGTCTCCCACCCTTCTCGTTCTCACTTTGTTGCATCAGTAGGAGACGTTTCCTCTTTTCTTCTCAGCACAGAGGCAGATTACAGGCGGCAGCAGTTCCTTGTTAAGTAGTCAGTTCACTGGAATGCGTTGGCTGCCTCCTCTGTGGCTCAGCATATTTCAGCTCAGACCTTCATTATTGCCAGCTGTCTGAGCACTCAGCTCTCTGTCCTTCCCTCATTTAACCACTAGAGGGAGTGTGTAACAGACTGGAGTGGATAAAGATAGGATTTTGTAGTTTTTGATCTAGTAGACAGATTTTTATGGGTTTTTTTTTAAGTTATACATTTCTTTAGCACTTTCCAAATGTATTCATCCATCTTTTTACATTAAATCCAGAAATTTGCAAATAAAGTAAACCCCATTTGAGCATCTGATAGGTCATTTCCCCCCATTGAGCAGTTTGGCACAGCTGCCATTATCTCCGACTTTCAAAGTACAATTATTCTGAATAAGGAGGTGCTGCAAAACTTCGGTTAAAGAAAGAGCTTATGTGATAATGTGTGCCGCTAATCTGACTTTTAGGAAAACACAGCACATTTGCATATTATCTTACTATACTGCTATTAATATTGTATTGAATTAAACTACTCTTATTTGAGTGCACATGTAGACCTGACAAACCTGTGAAGTATTTCATGCAAAGAACACGGAAACTAGAAATAATCTTTGAAAATCATAAGTGGCAGCATCCTTCTGCAAGAAACGGGAGTGAAGATGTAAAGAATGAGGCATAATGCTGTGAAGTTTTTAGTTCTCCATTGGGAGATGGAAAATATTCATGTTGGAATGGCCTAGTCAAAGAAAGACACAGATGTTTTTTCAAAGAAAAATAGGAAAACTTTTCAGTCAATAGATCGTAGAGCTGGTGGATGATACCCGAGGTTTTGATCCAAGGGAAAATAATCCAGTTTAAATAACAGTTTTTCAGGAATAAAACAGATTATGTCAATAATGACTGTCATGCTTTATTTTTTTTTAGATCTGCAACTGGTTCATCAACGCTCGTCGCCGTCTCCTTCCTGACCTTCTCCGAAAGGATGGAAAAGACCCCACCAAGTTCACAATCTCGCGTAAGGTTGTCAGTAAATCTGAGGGCCAGCAGTCGACCGCAGGCGAAGCAAGCTCTCCTGAAATCGTTGCTTCAGCTCGCTCCACTCAACAGCGTCCATCCGTGATCCGCTCTGCGCCCACTCTGGACCTCAGTCTGCTGGGGAACACGGCCACGGCCATCCTCACCGGAGCGGGCTACCCAGGAAAGGAGGGGTCTGTGCAGGCGCTCATGAAGCTGGACACACAGAGCCTGTTGAGGGAAGCGGATGAAAGGGGCGTCCATTCGACCGTTCCGGCTAACATGGCTGCCAGCCACTCCAGTGGTCTCCTCAACACGCCTCCACCCACCCCTCCTGAGCTCTACCCGAGTCATGACTTCAGTGACCTGCGGCTGCTGGTTGATGCTGCGCTGCAGAGAGCTGCGGAGCAGGACCTGCTCAAGGAGACCCACAGCAAACCAGCAGAGCCTCTGGAAGCCAAACTGGTGGATGCAAATGAAATGGGCGGCACCCCCCCTCCAGAGGAAAAGGTCATGGATCCTTCCAGAGCGCAGTGTCTGATGGAGAAAGCTATGTCCGTCCCAGAGTCAATCAAATCTCCTAGTACTGAGTCGTCAACCGCCGCTGTTCCAGTTCTTGCTCCAGTCTTGCTCCCCGCCTCCAGTATGACGCCTCTACCAGCAAAAAAAGGAATATGGAACCCCTTAGATAAAGACGCTGTCAGAACATCCAGCCCAAACCAGCCTCCTCTCATCCCAGCCCGTCTCCCAGCTATAGTACCAGTTTCTGCTGTTGTCCTGGAGCGACCGGAGCTCCAGAAACCTGCTGCCCTCCCAGTCATGAACCCAAAGCTGCCTTCAGCTTCCACATCCGTCTCCCCTCCAGCCTCATGTCCAGTGACTGCATCAAGTCCAGCGGTAGGCCCGGTCTCCATGGAAATACCTTCCTCCCAGTCAGCAACCTCCTCTGATTCCCCGCCGTTCCACAAACCCCCCTCCATCCCCGTCACGGCCCCCACCGTGCTGCACGCCTCTTCCTCGGTCTCCTCCGCAGCGCCGGCCGTCCCGCCTCTCCTGAGCCTCGCCTCCCACCTCACCCCTCACTCCGCCGCTGGCAGCAGTTCAGCCATAGTGCCCAAGGTTTGGAGCGTGGTTCACGCCAACAGCAGGCCGGCTGGTTCCCTCCAGGTGGTAACGACCCCCATCAGCACGGTGTGGGGGCCGCAGCGCAACCTGCACACACTGAGCGAAGCTGTGAACTAGAAGCTGCTGCCGTTCTTTTAAGATCTACAAACCCAGGAGGGGGGGGGGTATGTTTTATGGATCGGAACTTTGAAGATTAGAGGAGAATGATCCGAAAACATTGACAAGCTAGAAGAACTGTACGATAGTTTACCAGCATTTCCAGTGGCAGAGCTGGACTTCAGTGAATGTAGAGAAAAAAAAAAACCTTCCCCTGATGTAAACTCTGCTGCCCTACAGCCATTCCTCATCTGATAGAAAGCAAATTTTCTCAGACGTCTAGTCATGCTTTAAGGATGACTTCTTAAAAGGTCGGTGTGTTTATTCTGACATGTTCTTTTCTTCTTTTTTTTTTTTTTTGTTCTCTCCTTGCATCTGGACAACGTAGTGGAGGGAAAACCAAAAACAAATAATCTAGATGAATCTGTTCTCTTAACTCCTGGCTGTTTCATGGACCACCTCAGCTGCTCTGAGTGTCCCTTCAGCCACATCAATCGCACCGTTAAGAAGTTCCTTCTTTCTATTTCCTGAATAAGAAAAGCACAGGTTTATATTCTGTTAGAACACATTGGTGTCGTCCACAGTTGTAGAGGCCTTAAAGAGTTTCTGTTTCTTAGACCTGAAGGTCATAGAGCAGACGGTTTATTCATAAAGCAGATGTAGCACGTTCTTTGTCCCCCTTATTTGTGTAGTTTATCCTCATCCGATTGTATCAAATGGTTCCTGATAGTCCGAGACGCTGTAGTTTCTGTGAAACTTTCCTGGACATGTTGGTAGCTGTGTGGGAGTTTGGCTGAACGCTGGGCTCATTTTTTTTTTTTTCTCCGTTGATGCTGTAGCACAATTACCAGTTAATGTTTACTAGGTCACAAAGCTGTGTTTACTTCAGTTCTGTTGTATTGGCCTGAGTTGTTGTTGTGGACAGAAGAAAAAAAACTGTTTGGGTCTTACTGATGCAGAGCAATGAACTCTGCAACCATTCCAAGAAAACCTCCTCATCTTTTGGTCCAAACATTTTAGCCTTTTTCTTCGTATTTTTTTGGACATTCTTTTCACTCTGTGCCACATCGTGGAGGTGAATGTTTTTGTTGCAGAAGCAGAGCTGACCGGTGTTCATTTTTTACCTCAATTTCACACAACTGGTGTTTATTTAATATTTCCGACTACAGAAAATACACTGTGATGCCTTCAAGGTCAGGATACTGGGAAAGGCTGGCTACGGTTTTTAGAGGTGAGGTTTTAGATGTAAGCTGACTCTTCAGAGGAAAACAAAAATGTGCTGATGTAAATATGTGAAAGTTCAAGGTTTTTATTTTATTTTTTTGGGGGGGGGGGCATATTTACTAGCCTGAGCTCATACTCGAAATGTAGTTTGTGTCCAACCAAATGCATTCTGGACGTTACTTTCTTCACTTTTTGTTACAAGTTATGACTCCAGGCAGTGTGACTGGCTGCTGTGCCTTAAGCCTTCGAATGAGGGAGGATGTCACCCTTTTTTTTTCTCCTTTTAAAAATGTATTAAAAACTCAATAGTCTGTGCAATATATGCCTTAAACTTTAAATGTCTTTTTTTGTATGAAAGTTTCAAAGAAATAAAGATTCACTTTTTCATAAAGATATGGTTTGATTTTTGCACATGGAAGTGATTCAATGTGCACCTGTCTTTGGGCCTTTTGCACCACAAACATTTTACATTTTAGTGGATTTGTGACCACTAGAGGGTACTGTGACTTTTATACCTTTTAATATCCTTAAAATTATGGTGTGACAAACCACTGAAACCATTATAGCTTAAAGCTGCAGTCTGTAACATTGAGGAGAGAGCAGACTTCGACTGAAAATTGGAAGAAAAACAGGTTTCACGCCACTCCCCCACCCTCTCTGCTTCACTCATGCCCCACCTCCAAGCTCCACCCCTCTCACAGCATCTGCGCGGCTACCGCATGCGACCAGAGAGGGGGGCGGGATTCAGCGTGTGTGAGCTGTGATTGACACTCCATCAGACGCTCCTCTGGCTTTGATTGGTTGTTTTGACTCGTCCCGAATTATTCTTTCCAGATTGAAATACAGGCAGTAGGTGGTACCAATTGAAGCAGTTTTTTTCACAGGTTACATATCACATGTACTGCTGTCTGGGCATAGGGACAGTTTTAGCCAATATGACAAAAAAATTATTTTTAAAAACTTACAGACTTCAGCTTTAAGCCTTGGTCTATCAAGGGAGGCTATTGCCTTTTATGACCTACCCCTACATTTGAAATGATGTAAGGCTAATGTATAGCCTCTTTCATTGTGGTATCAGTGTATAATTCTAAAAGCTCTCTAGTAAACTGGTACTGCCTTTGAGATGCTCAGTGAGAATGTCAGCAGATGCTTTCATGCTCTATATCGGTCTTAACAGGAGTACTAATTTTTCCAATTCTGAAAAGCAGCTAAGAGACACTTTCACATTTAATCTCAATGGAAAAATGCTTATTGATGTGAAACAAAGTTTTAATATAAATGAGCTTGATTTTTGTCTGCGATGATTTCAAAGAATTCCTTGCCTTGGGATTTATTGGCATGCCAGATTAACATTATTTTTAACATGTTTGATGAAATTATACCATAGAATGATATGTTAGTGTATTTTGCCCACAGATTATAATGCTTTTGGATGCGTTTCTATTTTACCATGTACTCGGATTAATAAGATTTGTTTTTATTAGTTATGCCAAAAAAGTGTCCTCTATACTTTAGCCAGCTAATAAGGAAATGGTTATCTTTCTATTGTAATAGAAATTAGTTTTAGTCTGAATTTACTCTAAAGGTTTTTTTCCTACTACATTTTGAATCAAATCTTTCTTCCATGCATAGATTAGTTAAAAACACGCCACATCTCCTTTAACCCTGCAAAATGCTACTTCAGAAGATATTTTAGGAAAATTTACCATCTTTTAATCCAATACTAAATTTGACTCCATCTTGTAGATCCCAAGTTGTTTTAAACTTTTGTACCCATGTTCTACCCTCTGAATAATTTTAGTACTACAGGTGATAAGTGGTATTTTGACACTTTTAGTTTTTAACCAAAATCCAAGATGAAGCAGTTTTATCATTAGTGTATTGAAATGGCTCATTTGGAGCCATTTCAATACAGTTCTTGATCTATATTGATAGCTATCCTGAATTCTGTTTAAGCATAATTACATCAAAGGAGATTCAACTTAATCACAATATTTACTGTAGGTGGTGGATTTCTTACTTCTAATTTTAACTTTTTAAAGGCAATATGCTTATTTCACAAAGTCTTTAAATTTACGATTTTTTCTGAACTTTGAGATTTTTCTTTTGTAAACTCTTGCAACAGAATTTCAGGCCAAAAAGACTTTGGCTAAAATGAAGAGCCAGCTAATTATATGAGCAATAGGTATACTAACAAATGCATGTTTTAGTATTTTCTCCTACTGCATTATTGCACTAAATAGAAAAAAAACTAACAAATACATATTTTTGTTATTCCAATTGGAAAGATTTAACAAAACTACCGGCAATCTGGTGGATAAAATTTTTTTCCAGAGATGTTTGCAGCTTTTAACGGGTTTTATTAGCTGAAAGGCCCCTTTGGATTGTAAAGGTTGCAAAGCCCTGTGCAAAGGATCCAAATGTTTCAAATTGTACAATTTTCTAAATATCTAACAAAGTTTAAAACACTAAAAATGAAGAAAACACATTAATCTGAAGCAAAGTCTGCTTTCAACGGGAGCTTTATTAGCCTGAGCAGATTCCTGACTGTATTCCCTCTACAAGCAGACACCTGATCTCTCAGTCCCTACAAACAGCTGATGGGAGTAAAGCATTAACCGCTTCTACCATTTTACAAGGATGAATTCCTCACCTCTTGATTGTCAGAAAGAAATAAAGAACAAGTTGATTCCATTTTGCAATCATGCACATACAGAGGAAGGGACCACGAGGTGTTGTAGCAAACAGGCAGGCAGGGGGAATAATTACATGCAAGCACAGAGGTGCTGGATGCATCCTGACAGTCGTAACAAGTTCATAACAAATATAGTGCAGTTAATGAAGGACGAGCAAGAATTTCTGATCCAATCCTTAATCAACACGTTTACTATCAGATATGCAGGAAAATACTGTGACGTTTTAAGGATAAGGAAGTGATTGTCATATTTATTTATAATACACAGAATAAAGGGAGGGATTGGTGGACAAATCTGCAGTGCAGCATGTGAGCCGAGTCTGATGCAGCCGTTTCTCCCTCTATTCATCGTCCTTATCCTTTGCGCCGTGTTTGAGGATGCGAGTGAACTCTGCGTAGTTGAAGTTGCCCTTCTTGTCGATCGGCGCCTCGCGGAATAGCTCGTCCACCTCTTCATCTGTGAAGCGATCACCCATTGTGGTCAGCAACTCTCTCAAGTGGTCCTCATGGATAAACCCTAATATTAAGAGAGGGCGTCACGCATAATAACACTTAAAAAGGGCATCAGTGAAACATCTGTGGATCTTTGTTTTAATGAAGACTCACCAGATCCCTCCTCGTCAAAGCAGGCGAAGGCGTTACGAATGACGTCCTCTGGGTCTGTCCCATTGAGCCGCTCTCCGAACATGGTGAGGAACATGGTGAAGTTAATGGGCCCCGGGGCCTCGTTCATCATTCCCTCCAGGTATTCATCAGATGGGTTCTTACCTGTTGGACAGAAACTACTCAATTCATCTCCTTAGAGACGCTGAAAGGGCAATATTTGTGTAGATGTATGTAAAAATCATTGATATATTGATGCAAACATTCCTTTCTAGCTCTGGTTTTATGTTTGGGCATCTCTCAAAATATTAACCTCCATGTTTAGGTCTTTCTACTGGCTGGACTGATTAATCCAGGTGTGTCTGACCTCAATAACCATGGCAAGACACACCTGGATTAATCAGTTCATCTAGTAATGAAAGAGTAAACAAAAGAGCTGCATTAAGTTTTGAATAGAGCCCATTACCCTGTGCTCGGGAAAACACCATGCCGCCCCTCCATGTTTCACTACTGAGTTTAAAGTAGTGTACTATTCCTTTAAGGGAATTCTCTTTTCACTAAACACTGCATAGACAGCTATGTCTTGGTAGCATCAAAATTGGAACATTATCTTCCCACTTTTAGACAGTGTTGGGCATGTTACTTTGAAAAAGTAATTAGTTATAGTTACTAGTTACTTCTCCCAAAAAGTAACAGTTACTAACTGAGTTACTCCACAATAAAAGTAACTAGTTACTAGTAAAAGTAACTATTGCGTTACTTTTGCGTTTCTCGCCCCCGTAAACCTCACCACCCAGCCCACACCTTCTCGCCGTGTGTTTCCAAAGCCAGCTGAATAGAGCGGACGACAAAGACAAGAACCTGCAGAGAGTTTAGCATTTCTTGTAACTCAACGTAAATGACATCAGGGGGGAACGCCATGTGAAGTTTTTTAACAGGGCATTCAGATCTGGTGAGCATATGAAATTAATAACTGGGGATGTCTAATTCTGAAATCCTGTGTGTTTGGGTTGTTATAGATACTGCAACATCTATCTATCTATCTATCTATCTAGATGTATACTCTGTGTGAGACATAAAATATGGATCTCCATCCCTGCCACAAAGGCCATCAAATAATGTTTAAAATAAAAAATACAGTAGGTTGAAAAGTCAGAGCATCCATCCATCCATCCATCTTTCTCCCTTTCTACATATAGGCTATCATTTGATCGTTCACGCTCTCCACAGTTCTCCTGTGGCGCGAGCACAGGGCGACTGTTGCGCGCCTTTAGCGAGCATGCGCGTTTCCTGTCGCTTGCGCGGTGACTCGTGCCGCCTGCGCTGTGCGGAGATGCAGAGGAAAACGTTATGTGGCGGGGAAACGCAGCTCGACGTAACACCGGTATTTCCATGTGGAAAACGCTGTTTTGCTGCTGGATCCTCCTCATTCTCCATCTCTCTATGTGTGCTGAACGTTAACACCCGCCAGCAGAAACACCCACCTACCCAACTGACAGATGGAATCTCATTATACATCAGCCATCCTCCCCTCTCTCATGACAAGGCACGCACCTCTGGATGACCTAAAAAATAATCTTTAATATCTCTTAAACAAAAGTAGCACAAACAATATTTTTTTTCTGCACAAATCTGCACTAACGTTGCACTAACCATTCAGTCTATTTGCAGAGTTTTTTGACATGGGTGGGGTGTCAGCTTCACGCAGCTGCGCACGAGTCCTATCATGAAAAAGGTTCATTGTGCGACCTGAGTAACGTGCAGTAACGGGGTGTCTGCAATGGTAACTGCGTTATAGTTACAGTCAAAGTAATTAGTTAGATTACTCGTTACTAAAACAAGGTTACTTTCAACGCCGTTAGTCCCATCACTGCTTTTAGATGATGCAGCTTTATAAAAAAAAAAAAAAAAAAAATCTAAGCCCTCTGAGACTATTACATTAAGCCCAGGTTCTTCACAGCATTGAAGATGAGTAATTCGATGCGTTGGAAAGGCAAGTCATTGCAACTGATTTTATTTGGGGGCGTCAGGAAAAGTTGCTGGGGGAAAAAAAAAAAAATCCAAGCACATCTTACAGTTAAACCCATAGCCGATT